CAGCCCTTTTGGGTGTGAGGGACAGCTCAGGCTCTGAAGAGGGAAGACCCAAAGTTTAACTCCTAGTTGCACAACTTTTCAACTCAAGTTACAACCCAAGTTCCCTTCCCTAATAGAAGATGAAGGCCAAGGGCCCACAAACCCAGCATCTAGCTCACAGGGAGCACTCCCAAGTATGAGGGTAAGGAAACATCCAAGAAGTGTTCTGGGAGAATACAGGCCACAAAAAAGGGGCTGGGGCTCCCATCACCAGGCCTCACAGCACCACATGGAGTCTCAGGCAGTTGGGAGACAGCAATGACTGTTCTATCACTCACGGGAGGTTCAGAAGGAAAGAAGGGGACAAGGGGATTTCATAACTGGCCCAGAGTCCCTTGCAGATACAGGAGAGCTCTGAAGCAGTGCAGGACACAGCCTTAAGTCCTCTAGTCTCTCCAACAAGCCTGAACTCCAGCTAGTTACTGCTCCATCTGTATCCTGAAAGGATCAGACAGGTTTCATTGCCTGAAGCTATGGTTAAGACATGAGGGTAGGTAACCCAACGAGGATATGTTCCCTGTCCTAGGCTACAGAAGTTACGCCATCGATCATGTGTTCAAAAGTACATCTTCAACAACCTCAAACTGAAGTTATGCCCAAGCTTCCACGACTTGCAGGGATTTGAAAACTGCTGTAGCATAAAGGTGTTCAATATTCGTGCATCTGCAAAACCCACTTTCCAATGGGCTGTTCAACTGGAAACAAAGGTATTTTATATAGATGGGCCCCAAGGGATCCAGTAACAAGTTCACACTCAGTTGGAAGAATTCATCTCTTACCTTGGCAGAATTAACAGGTTAACACTTGTATAGGTTTATGCTGGCAGGTTAAGGGCTTTGTCAGCCCTGACAAAGGCATCCAGGCACTTCTGGCAAGATAGCCCCGTTTCTGGTTCACTCTAGAAGGACAGCCCAGGCCCCACCCTGGGTTTCCAGGTAAAGGTGGGTACCAGTAGCTACTTTCACCCTGCATGATTTCAGCAAATAACAGACTATGGACTCTTGATCCAACCAGGGATAGATTTGAGAATTAAAAGGTCTGAAAGCCTGAGTCTATAGCCAAAGATGTTACACATTAACTTAGGCAGTGGGCCACTTGCCACCTTGGATCAAAGCCCTCGAGACCTCAATGGCAACCACTCCCCTCCTGGTACAGATAGGTGGAGGCGGCGAGACTGGCTTAAGGCGCTAGAGAAAGGTGATTTACTCCAGAGATGAAGCTTTGAATATGACTTACCCAAAGCTTGTTTACAGAAAAGAGGGAGACTCGGGAAAGGGACTAAAATTCCTAGAGGGGACAGGGCTGCAAGAAGGCAAGCTCGATAACAGGCTTTCCCCACTATACCTAACAGTCCTTTACAGGGTGGGGTTCAGTCCACAGGGCGAGTTAGAGGGAGCAGCAGCACCTTGCATAGGGCCCTTCCTAGGGGGTTGATAATAGTCCAAGGGACAGGAAAGAGGAAGCCCCTTTCCTCTGAGCCTGGACATAACACAGGGTTTTAAGTAAGGAAGTTGAGAGCCATCCTGTGACTTTTTTCATCCCCAAAACTTCCAACAGTATAGGCCTCACGCATCTCTGGCATATTTGTAGTTTACGGAACTAGAAGCCAAGACTACGGCAGAGCGTGCTCAGAGGACAAGGCGCATTCCATGAAACACACACACCTCCCGCCCCAGTGCTTTCGTTACACGCTAAAGCATTCAGAACTCGGAACTTGCTTTCCCTCTTGAGAGGAAGCTGTCAAACAGTTCCTTAGCACCTGAGGCCAATTAATGGTTTGCCCAAGTTACCCAATTCACTTGGAGCTAGTTTACCCACAGCTAATCAAGTTCTCAAGTATTTTACTGCCTGGAGCTGCCTGGAGCAGGAGCTACGTTTCAGTATCATATCATTGCTACTTTGGAATTGAGAACAAGTTCAGGTGATGCACATGTTGCTTGCCTACGCAAAAACTGTTACTGTCTACAAGGCATGCAGTTCATACATCAGGCACAACTGCATTCTCAGTTTCAAATCAGATGGGCCCCTGCATTAAGTGCTTGAGAAACAGACAGGGTCCTTGCTCTTGGCAGGAGTGGGGAGAGTGGAGCACTGATGAACCCAGTAGTCAGAGTCACCAGTATGTAACTGAGCATAGCTTGAGGGTGAACTGGCTTTAAATTGAGATATTGGGGACGACCCAGGGATAGGTGCCGGGCAGAGCAGAATGACCCAGGGAACTTGCTCCTTCAGCCAGGCAGGGTCTCGGCATGCCAGAGCCTCAGGCCAAGGGAGGAAGGTCAGTCTCTATCTTGAGACCCAGGCTACCAAGGCAGAGCAGGCTTTTAAGGTTATTCTGGCTGCCGCGAGGAGCTTCAAGGAGATGCAGATAAATTGAGCAGGTAGTGGTTAAGGTAACCCAGGTGAAGGAAAGCTCTGAGCAGGGCTGTGCTAAGATTCGAGAGATGCAGAGTTTCCAAGTGGCTAGATTTAGGGAAGATTTTAACGCAAGGGGGTTGAAATTTCTGGTCAGTGCAGCTGGAGATGCAAGGATGCTGTCACTGTTGAAAGGGGTACCCCGAAAGTCAGCAGGGGAGGGGAAGGCAAAGTGTTTAGTCTTATTCTGCCTGCGGTTTGGGCACAACCAGGTACCTTTCAGATATCCTATGGAGATGCCAGGGAGAGAGTTCCAGAAGGGGACAGAAAAGCAGCTGGGCTCCCAGAGATGTGAACCACTGGTGCATGCAGACCTCTCAGGGTCCCCATCACATTAGGTTAGGTCAGACATCTGATAGCAACTAAGCATACCCTGGTAATGACACTTATGCTAGACACCTGATAGCAGCTTAGCCACACCTTGGGAATGCAGGTGCACCTGATCTATATCAACTGCATGCTTTTTGAAGTTTTGTCAAGCAGGCTATACTGGACCACCCTGCACCCAAGTCCCCTCCATAAACCCTACGTGTTTGTTGGTTCTGGGTCTCTTTGGCCTCAAACACTCAGCTATCCTGCTGAGTTCAGTGGGGGTACAGCACAAGAGGGTACAAAGGCATGAGTGGGGACTAGGGGTGACTAATAAGCTTGGAGCCAGAGGAAACACGGTTCAGGTGTCAGAGCTCCTACAGCTGAACACCATACTGAGCTCGCCCCATGAGGAAGAGTCTGGAACACACCCTGGTGTCCCGCTTCCTTCGAAACCCTTCAAAATTTCCTGCCACGTTCACGTTATCTTTAGACAAGAGTAACTTACGGTAAACAGCTCCCCAGACCCCACTCTAAAACCGCTGCTGCTTCAACATGTAGCTTCCTTTCAAGCTAAAAATAAGCTGTAGAGCCCAGGAGCTGGGGGGGTTGGGAATGTTTTACCCAAGTGGGACAGTCATTTTGTGTCAACTCCAACAAGGCTTTGTGCACAGGTGTAAAGGTCACCAGCTTGCAAGAGCTTGAAGTTGGTCCTTAGTTTTCCTAACAGCCTTATTACACAAATGCACTAGTGGTAAACGCAATTCTATCACTTGCTCTAAGGGTCTCACTAATCTGGTTGGTTAAGGTCTAGTTTACGAGAGCAGATACACAGTCCCGGCTTGTAGGCCCGTGTCTTTGCTTCGAAAATCCATTTTACACAAAGACTTAACATTCTCCACTGCCCCTCAGTAAAAGCCACCCTCACATCTTATTTCCCGATTAATGATTGTGGGTAGGGAGGGTAGTCATCCCTGGGAGCAGCTTCCAGGTGTCGGGACAAGTCATAGGGAAAGAGGGAGGGAGAAACTGTTTCCAGGGGGTTGAAGTTGTAACTTAGAATAAGGCAGTCAGAGACAGGTGACGCTCGAGTGACATTTGAGCAATGAAATACTTTTGAAGGACACAGCCGTCAGCCAGATAGATCTCCGGGAAGACAGCTGCAGGAAAACAGCCTCCGAGGCCAGTACCCAAGGAAAATAAAACTCAGATAAGGGGAGAGAACAGTAGGGAACTCTTAAGTGACCAACAGGCCATCACCTAAGGGCCTAGTAGGCCGTTTTCAAGACTTTAGCTTCTACTTCATGAAACTTGGAGCCCCTAGAGACGTAAGCTGAAGTGGTTAGATTTCCCGCTTCAAAAGGATTGCTCTGCTACCTGGAGAACCCACAAGGCAGGGGAAGATAGGAGATAAGAAACATGGGCACTAACAAAGACAAGTTATGAGAGAGGGCTGTTCTGGAGCAGGCAGCGAGATTAACCCGGATACCAGATACGTTCCTAAGCAGAACAGACCTTCCAGATTAAAGCAAGCAGGAATCATCAGAGCCGGGTTTCACGTTTAGCTATCCCCAGGTGCTTTGCTTCCGTCCGTTTTTACAATTCTCCTAGCTCCCTACAGCCCCGAGAAAAAGCTTGCACCCACCCTACTGAAAGGTGAGACTGAAAAGCTTAGACACTTCACAGCCCCTGCTCTCTCCGACAACGGAGGCACCACCCCAATTTTAAGAGTGGAGTTTCTGCTTTGCTTTCTTAGAAAATAAACTCTGGCTTCCTTAAAAGCTACAAGCGCCCCCCTTTTTTGACTTCAAAGTTCAAGTTGAGAAACAGCACGAATTCGGGCCCTGCAAAGAGCAAACCCTAAGTTCCTGGTACCAGCAACTACTTCAAGAGCAAGCATCTAACTGCGTTTTAAAAAAAGAAAAAGCTTCCCTCTGTTTACATAACCCGAGTAGCAGGAAGACTGGCGGCTCGTGGAGGCCCGGAGGCAGTCCATAAGCAAAGGCCGGGGAACGCCCGCCACGCGGTCACAAGTACAGAAGAGGCTTTCCAGGACCCCACCAAAGCCCGCCCGTGCTTTCAGCGCCTCTAAACCCCAGAAAGAGAAGTTCCCAAGAGCCCAGCCGCTACTAAAACCCAAGAGCAGCATAACACTCGCTTTCTTCTTCCCCAGCCGATTCTGACGCCGCCAACCGCTTGCGCCGCCTTTTCAAGGGCCCGCGGGGCGTGGAAACGTCACTTCCGGGGCGGGCCCGGCGGGCGGGGCGAGGCAGGCGGGGGAGGGGCGCGCCGGGTCCGCGCAGGCTCGCTGGGGCCTCAGCCGCCGAACCGAGTGCTTGACTATATATGGTCAAAGCTGGGGGCGAGCCGCGCGCGGGGCCGCGCTTCCGGGTTCGGGGCGTCCGCAGCGGCAGCGCGCAGGGCAGGCGCGAGCTGGCCTCCGAACCCCGGCCTCGGACCGCCCCCTCCACGCCCGGCACGCCCGGCGCCGCCTTCCGGCCCCAGTCCTCCGGCTCTGCCTCGGTGAGGTGTGATTCCCAGCGCGGGCAGGCCCGGGAGGCTCTCGGCGAGCGCGACGCGGTAACAAGTGGGCGAGGATGCCGTACGAGATCAGTAAGTGCCGCGGCTCGGGCTCCCAAGCGGCCGCCACGATGCCCTGGCTGGGTCCCCCGGCCCTCCGCGCGGTGCCGGTGATCCCTGGCGCGGGGGAGAGGTGCGGGCGCGGGCCGGAGGCGTGCCGGAATCGTCCTCCGGGGGTGCGAGACGGGACCCCCCGTCTGGGGGCGCCCCCAGTTTGGCGCCGCGGGCCACGCCGGAGGAGCCCCTATGCCCCCAAAGGGCCTGACCCCGGGCGCGGACCAGGAAGTCGCGCGGTCCCCGGCGCTGGTGGAAAGTGGAGGCTGCCCTCCAGGCGCAGGCAACAGGTGACCGGCTGAGACCGGTCCGGGGCCTCTTCTCCCTCCAGTCCCTGTCGTCCCCGCTTGCCCAGGGCTGCCCTGACGTGCCCCGCCGCGTTTGTGTCTCTGCAGAGAAGGTGTTCGCCAGCCTCCCCCAGGTGGAGAGGGGCGTCTCCAAAATCATCGGCGGCGACCCTAAGGGCAACAATTTTCTGTACACCAATGGAAAGTGCGTCATCCTAAGGAACATCGACGTGAGTACCCCCTCTCCTGGGCGCGGTTCCGCTCCAGAGCCACCTTGGGATGGGGGAATTCTCCTTCCCCTCCACCCCCACCTCCTGTGCAGTGGCCCGAGGAGGGTGAGGGCGCCACGCCCCCTCTACCGGGAGCCACACCTCGGAGCCCCGGAAGCCAGCTTCAGATTCACCCAGGCCCCTTTCTGCCCCTTCTTGATGAGGAAACTGAGGCTTAGTTTGTTTCTGTCTGTGGCCGTAGCACCCTGAATGCGCCGGATCGTCTCTGATTTCGGGAGCTAAGCAGGGTCAGGCCTGGTTAGTACGTGGATGGGAGATCAGATTAATTCGTTCCTTAAAAGCAAGGGCCCCGGATTTGAGGGATCAGACTGACCCATTCGGCTGCTGCATGACCTTGAGAAGATTGGCGAGTTGGGCCTCTCTGAGCCCCAGTTTCCTCGTCTGTAAAACAGATGATGAGATGATGACCACCCCCACTTCCCTGCTGCCTGGGCGGTTGGAATGAGCTGCTGGCGTCCCTCAAGTCCAGCGGTGCCTGCTGCACGTTGAGCAGTGACTGAATGGCACTCAGCTAACTCACTGTTAATACCCCGGTCTTCCAGTGTGGCAGAGCCCGGACAAACATCCAGGCCTCTGAGCCAGCCTGATCTGCCACCGTAGATCTGAGCCCCAAAGCAAAAACAGGAAGCAGTGTGTTCCCATGAATCATTCTCTGCAGGCCTCCGGTACCCAGGCTGAAAAGGCTTCTAGAGCCAGCTCCTTGGGAAATCCTTGCAAGTTCATGTTATTCCCCTGTAATTACTGGGATGACCCAGTCTGCCTGTCAGCCTCCCTCCCTTCCTGGGTTACACACTTAGATGTTGCTTCTCCCTGCCTCAGCCTGAGTGATGGAATTGGGGGGTGTGAGTTAGAGGTGCCAGCACGGCCACTGGGGGATTTCTCCTATGCTGTGCTTAGTGGGGCGGCTGGCAAAAAGGTGTATGATTTGGTTGATTCCATAGGCATACAGGGTTGTTAAGTTAAAGTCAGCCTGATTTCCCTTGTTGGTCAGACACGACTTTCAGGAGGCCCGCAACTGGCTGAGGGAATGAGAGAATGAAGCATATCTGGGCCTCAGTTTCCTTCTCTGTGAAAGGAGAAGCCTCTTGGTCTGAAGAGCTGCAGGCTCTGCCCGCCCCCCATCTGTCCGGTTAAGCCAGCCAATTGCTGCTGTTCTCTGCTGGAAGACAGAGCTCTACCTGCCTAGAATTGCTGGGCACCTCAAATGAGGGGTTGGGTGGGTGTGAATGTGCTTTAAAGGTGCTAACAAATTGCTAATCACACAGATTCCTAGAAAGACAAACTTCCTTGCTTAGAACTGGAGAAACATCACCAGGATCTAATGGTAATGACCTGAAAGTCTCCGGAGGAAAGTCCTGAGATTTTTGTCAAAATAAAAATTGTGACAGCCCTAAAGGGATATGTGGTAGTTTGGCAAATAAAATGCACTAAAGCATCCTCGGGGATACAGAGCAGTAGGATATTTGGTTTTGCCCCTAGCAAGGCCTTCCCTGTCATTGCAGTCCACATTAATTTCCAGGTAGGGGACCTCACATAAAGTACCTGCTATGCATCTGGCCCTGTGCTAGCTTCTTAAACCGCAGCATCTCTTTCCACCCCACATGGGCCCGTTACTCTAAAGAGGAGTCAGAGTTAGCAAGATGAGGTAGGCCAGTAGCTGGAACTGCTACCAATGGAGAGGCCATTCAGGGACAGGCACCCCTTTGCAGGGTGCATTTTCTGGCTTGTGAAACCCATCCTGCCTGTTTCTGAGATCTGTATTCTTATTCCTTCCCTGTGGTTTGCCATTTTCTCCTGAGGGGGTACCCTCTTTCCCTTCTCATCTATTTTTAAGTTTCCGCAATGCCAGGTCAGCACGAGATGCTACTAATACAGCCCTCCCTGGGCTGGATGTAGATCAGACACTGAGGCTCTTGTTGGTTAGATGAGTGGACTGGGTACTCAAGTAAAAGTGGGTCAGATTTTTTTTTTTTTTTAGGGCAAAGTACTTTTGGGGGAAAAAAAGCAACATGAGTTGGCATGACCATTCAGGGTATAGGAAGGAAGATGGTCTGGTCGGAATGTAGGCTCGGAGAGGGAAGAGGGGAGAAAAGGAGATTAGGACCAGATCATGGAGGATCTAACAGGTGTGACTGACATCTCAGACTCAACATACATACCCCAAGCCAAACTGGAGTTTCCCATGTGCTCTTCCCCAAAAGGGAACTCCATTCTTCCAGCTGTTCAGGCCCCAAATCCTGGACTACTGTTTCACTCCCCACTTCACTTCTGTGCCACATTTAATTTTAGCAAATCCTTCTGACTTCACATTCAGAGTATCTTCAGAATCTAACAGACTTACCCTGCTTCCTCTGCCCTCACCCCCAGCTAAGCTATCTTCCCCCATCAGAATTGTTGCCCCCCAAACTCCCCAAAACCAAACAGCTCTCCCTGCTTTCACCCTTGCTGCCCTGGGGTCTGTTTGCAACACTGCAGCTGGAGTGGTTGAAACACAAGACGGGCCTTGAGTGGCTTCCCACCTCAGCAAAAGCCAGAGTCCTTAACACGGCCTCGCCTCACAACTCCTCTTCTCTCTAGGCTCCGGCACACTTGCCTCCTTGCTGCTTCTGGAACATGCCACACATCTGTCTTGAGACCTGCTGGTTATTGCCTTCGCCTGGACTTTCTTTGCTCAGATAGCTGCAAGGCTTGTTCCCTGTGTTCCGTTTGGTTTCTTTTTATTTTTTAATTTAAGGCAGAGTTTCACTGTCGCCCAAGCTGGAGTGCAGTGGCATGATCTTGGGTCACTGCAACCTCCACCTCCCAGATTCAAGCAATTCTCCTACCTCAGCCTTCCAAGTAGCTGGGGCTACAGGCACACACCACCACGTCTGGCTAATTTTTTTGTATTTTAGTAGGAGTGGGGTTTCACCACATTGCCCAGGCTGGTCTCGAACTCCCAACCTCAAGTGACCCACTTGCCTTGGCCTCCCAAAGTACTGGGTTACAGGCATGAGCCACCACCCTGGATCTTTCCCTTTGGTGTCTACTTAGATGTCATCACCTTAGTAGAGGGGCTTCCCCTGGATAGAATTTTTCATCTCCAGCCTTCTCTTCTCTGACAATAAGTAGAAAGCAAGCTAACAAGCAAGCCAATGCTACCTACAAGTGTACATAAGTATCTGCCTGTTCCCCTAACTGACATCAGCTCCAGGCAAGCAGGGCTTTCCCCTCTCTGTTTCAGTCACTGCCATGTCCTCACCTAGAAGCGTGCCTGGCACACAGTAGGTGCTTAGTGAGTTACTCGTTGATTAAGGAGCCTGAAAGACCAGGCCGTGTCGTGAAAATAATAGGCAGCTACTGAGGGCTTACTGCAGGAGAATAGGGAAAGCTCAGCTCTGGATTGCCGGACCTAAGTTCTGTGGAATCCACCTTTCAAACCTAACAAGCGAGCACCCTTGCCAGCTTTCCACTTGGAGCTCCCTCTGTCATTTATTTTGTTGACTTAATAGCTATTTTATAAACCCAGCATAATGGGACTTCTTAAGCTTGTAGTAAAAGGGTGTTTCTTATCTATTTCTTTGAACACATCCCGTTGCCTCACCTGGAGAGGCCACTCTCCTCTGCAGAGTGAAAGACTATGACAGTGACCATCTAGAAACTAATATTCCAGGAGAGAGCTCCAAGAATAGGATTCCAGTGAACCACGTGTACACTGTTGAGACGTTACTTCCCCACCGTGAAGGGATGGGTGGTCTATACTTCAGGGTCTAAGGAAGGCTTCCTGCAGGTGCTGGTACCTGAGTCTGGGGTGGTTCCTTCCAGATTACCTTACCCTGCCTGTATTACCTTTGCCTCTTAGGACCTCTGTGCAAAGACTGGGAAGGTCACCCCCAGTGACTGAAGGAACCTGCTTGTGATTCTAAACAAGGCACAGGGCCATCCTACAATGATAATTATCCAGCCTATAGTGCCAGTAGACCCTGCTTAGAAAAAAAAACAGCTTTTGCCTTACAACAGAGGTCCTCTTGTGTGCTGCCAGGCAGCCAGCAGATTTGCCATGCAGGCAGGTTTGGGGCCTGCTTTTTAAAGTATCCAGTTCCTAGATTCCAAAACTAAAATACACATTTGGAAAAGTGATGTTTGTAGAGTTGAATTTCTGGCAGTTCAGGATTTCTAGCAATTTGATGCTGCTGTGAGCCCAGGCGCAGTGTCAGTGCACTTTTCTCCTTGAACAGGGTGCAGACCAAGTCGGGGGATATTGGGCTCACTCTTATTTCCCTTGGCGCCATCTGCCACCATTCACATGCAGAGGACTCTGCTGTGTTGCCTGCGGCCTGGAAGTAATCGTGGTGGGACGGAGGGCTTGCGGACTGACCTGGCTTCCTCTCTGGAATTGCATGCCTGCCGAGTCCCTGCAGTGTGTCCAGATGGCCAATCAGCCTATGGGGGTGCAGGATGGAGGCCCTGCCCACATGGAGCTCACTATCCTGAGTGGGAGTGAAATGAACTCTAGGTGGCAGAAGGAAGTGGTGCGTTTGGATTATCACCTGGGCAGAAACCAGCAGACAGCAGCACCTGCCAGGTGCAGAGCCAGGAATCTCCAGGCCTTCAGTGTGACTACTCGACGGCAGGGGAAGCAGAGGACGCTGGGTAGCCTTCATCTCAGAAGAATCTGAGTGGCTGCGGGTGCCCATCAGCAGGACGTGGGGCTCCTTCCTTGCAGAGCAGACCACATCGGGGAGGCCCGAAGCGCCAGGTGCTTAGGGACTGTGACTGTGGCACTGAGTGTGAGGGGAGTGCACGGGACCCAGGCTGGGGAGGTCCTGGTGGGCAGTGGTGGCAGGCAGCTCGCACAGCCTTACCATAGCCCAGCCCTACCATAGCCCAGCCCTGCTCTGAAGGCCACTGGAACCATTAAAAAGTCTTGCAGACAAGTAATCAGATCAAGTCTACAGTAG